TGCTGGGCGGTGTAGTTTTTACCACTGTTTTTTTCCAGTAGTTGATTAGTTAACGTGTTATTCGTTCCAGTTTGGAGTGTGACACCTGAGTCTGTTTATTTTGAAGAAACTAATAAAGTTGGAGTTCAGAATTGCTATTCAGATTTTCTTTGTTCTTCTTTATTAAGAAACAGTTTTTAACATCATCTGTGCTTCTGTTGGACTTCCTTTCAAAAGTCACTTTCTAAGGGGTTCTTGAAAAAGTGTAAGAGTTTTTGTAAATGAAGACTCAGGGTTGAGATCTTGAATGCTTAGCTTTTGTTTCGACGGTTCTGAGCTTTATTCATTTTGGGAAACTAATGGCGATGTGAGGGAGCCAACCTACTTGATTTCAGAAGATACCAGGGAAATCGACGCTGAACAGATTGCTGCTGTGGTACGTGGGGTGCGAAGGCGACGTTAACCTCTTTTGTCTTTCAGCTTGTTACAGTTGCTCTTTGCGGTAGTTAGTTTGCCTCTTTGCATTGCAATTTAAAGTTTTAGGGGTTTACTGTTAATGTTTTCTAAGGGTTTTATATAAGATTCTTGAATTTACGGCGAATTCCTTTAAACGCTTTTTTGTCGCAGAGTGATTTTACTGTCTTTCCATTTATCTGGTAAGGTAGATTTAGCTTTTTTGGGATGAAATACTATTGAAAATTACAGTTTCATGATGAGGCATTTTCTGTATTCGGTCTTCTCTTCTCATCTTGATATTTACATGAGGTTTGAAGGAAGAGCAAGTAAAACTGTTTCTGTGTGCATTGAAAGAGTCGTGGCAAGCTTTATTAGTGATTAAATTGTGATATGATACCAGTGTTTTCTTTCTTTATCTGCAAATATGTGAACGAACACATCTGATTTATGAAAATTAGTTTGTTTAGGTGCTTCTCTTTTACTGCTGGTCTTTCCCTATATCTTTATGTATTTTAGTAGCAATCTCCTTTCCAAGGGAGAGCGGTTTTATACTTTTATACAGATGTTTATTTGTGCTGTCTATGACAATGTGTTGTGTTCAGTAACTGAATATTTGTCTAATTGGTGTAAAATTGTATGAAAGTTGTAACAAAGTCGTGTAATACTGCTATAAGTGTTATTATACAAGCAGTTTTTGCTTGTTTGTTTGAATATCAAAGTGATTACTGTAAAGCATTTGGAGATACAACTTCTGGAATACGTTTTTGTTTTTGGAGCGTTTTTTCGCCAAGGAATTTGTTTATTAATTTTATTTGGGATATGTTTCATTTCGTGTAACCTTTAGGTTTCAAAATTTTTTTATAATAAACAGAAGAATTGGATTGGAGAATAGAGCCCAGTTTTTATGATGATCTGCGGAATCTATCGTTGTGTCGTCGAGTCGGTTTGATTTAAGAAGTGTAGCGCCGTACTTGCAAGCGGTAGCGTACTTTATTTTTGCTTTTTTGAGTTTTTATTCTAGGAGTTGGAATATTAATTTTTTTGTTTCAGGAATGGGGCGATATTTTTATGAACATTTGGGTGGAAAACGTATTTTTTCTTGTAGTCGGTGTGAAGTTTACCTTTCCAACAGGAGTGAAGTTATTGCTACAAACTTCCGAGGTCTGGCGTTATAAATTATTCAGGTTTTCTTACACCTGTAAGTTCGTTGCTAAGTGGGTGCATTCATATTTCTAGGAAATACAGGACGTGCTTTTTTGTTCCGACGAGTAGTGAATATCAGAGAGTCGCAGAAAGAGTCTAGGGAAATGCTGTCTGGCATTCATGTTGTTCGAGATGTATTCTGTAAAAGATGCGATTTGAAATTGGGCTGGATGTATGAATATACCGTCGCAAATAATCAACGTTACAAAGAAGGTAAATGGGTGTTTTGAATTAAATTCCCATATTTTGTACTAATAGTTAAGAATTCTCCCTTTGAGGTAATTACGGGCTCAGATGCAGATTTAGATACATTCTGAAACTTGTACTATGGTATAATGCAGCTGCCAAAAAATTAATTTGTTTTTAGATTGGTCAGGAGAATGTTTGTCTGAGAAGCTGTTTTTTTATTATGAGAGTAAAATATTTTAGCTGCTGTATTAAACAGTTGTAATTTATCTTTACTTCTTCTAGGAAGGATTATTTTGGAGAGGAAATTGGTTAGTGAATCCGAAGTTGTTAACGAAAAGTTAGCGGAACGACAAGATGATGATGATAGTGTTAGCGGTTATAGTTCAGATAATAGTAACGGTTATATGTAAATACTGTTAAATAATTTAATAGTATTTTAAGTTATTTAGAATTTCATTCTATTTAGTTCCATTTGTTTCTCAGGAAATTCTCTGCATCAGAACTACTTTGGATACTATAATAGTATCTTTACGACCTATTTAAAAAAAAGTTGCAAAAATATTTAGCTTTATACTAGTACTGTTGAGCTCATAATTTATTCGTCGGCATGTTCGCTTAGCATTTTTCTTAATGTCGTTGAAATGTTAATTAAAGTTTTGATTGATTTTGGCCAAAAAGGTACGTGTGTGTGTGTGTGTGTGTGTGTGTGTGTGTGTGTGTGTTAGTGTGTGTGTATGTATGTGTCTGTGTCTGTGTCTGTGTCTGTGTGTGAATGCTGATATCATAGTAGTTGTTGTTGTTCATGAGACACGGTTCTTTATGCCGTTCTTTATCATTCGTTATTGATTTTATGTTTAAACGAAATTTGTTTTCTTTTTGTTTGTGCAAGTAAGTGCGGTCGGCTTGAACTCTTTGAACATTTTGAAATATTCATTTGCAAACCTCTATAATATGATCTGCAAACTTGTTTTAATGTTTGTTATCCATTTCAGTTGTTTTGATCAGTAAATCAAAAGTTCTGAAGTCGGTACATACGTATAGTTAACTTATGCAGTCGCAAAAACGGGTTCAGATATTGGTGGCGCTTATAAATTGTTTAGCCTGTTGTTACGTTTTGTTAAGATTTTTGATTTGCTGGTGGTCAGCAAAAGACGATTTGTTTACGCTATTTTTTTAAGAATTTTTTCAGTATGTTTTTTTTTTCTTTTTCTTTTTTTTTTTTTTTTTTTTTTT